CAACACCCAGAGCCCCAGGCTCTGTTGGGAGCAGAGGGAGAAAAAGCCCCCCACGCCATCCCCGGGGCCGAAAGCAGCCGTGTCCCACAGCTGAGTGCTGGGAAAGCCGAGGTGGGGATGTCTCAGCCAGGGTTTTTTTTTTAACCTCAGTTAGCTGGGAGGTCCCCTGTGGCAAAGGGCTTTACCTCACTTAGCTGGGAGGTTCCCCGTGGCAAAGGGCTTTGCTCTCGTCACCCGAGTTGTTGGTGGAAAAACAGTCATGGAGAAGCGAGGCTGAAAGGGACCTCCAAAAGTCCAGCTGCCAGCCTGGGGCAGGATCAACCCTCTCCAAACCATTGTATACAAACCATAATCTAAACTCTGCATAAGACTGCTGTCAACTCTGGCACCACACAGACCTAGTGCCCTCGCTGTCCCAGGTAAAGCAGGGGAATCCCAGCAGTCAGTGTGTCCTGCTTCTATAAAACGTTGTCGGTGTACGGTCAAGAGGTCCCAGGCAGAAGGCCATGTCCCCCACTACAGAAGAAGGCAAAAACCTCCAAGTCCATACCAGTCTGACCACAGAGTAAAATTCCTTCCTAACCCCACATATGGCAGTGGATCTGACCCAGAGTGGAAGGGCAAGACCTTTTTGGCAGGAAAAATAATAATGCATGACTATTTTTTTTTCTTTTCCCCCCCACTATTACAAGCAACCCAGAAACCTCCTGCTCTGCTGTGCTCTGATGTAAGGGACAGGCTCCTTTAGGAGACCTGTTCTGGGGAAACACCATGTTGATAGTGTGCAACACCCAGTTGAGACTCACAGGGGCAGGTTAGCAGGTGACATAGGCCTAAGAACAGAAAGGCAAGGTTTTTTTTGGCACGGTTGCTGTTGTTGCGGCAGTCTGCTGGGAGAGTGTTAGATCAGCTCCCCAAGGCCGAGCATGCCCCTCTTGGTTCACTGTTGGACGGTTTAGCCAGAGGCATGATGTATCGACCATTGCTCCATCTGTAAATGACGGGTGGCGTCTCTCTGGTTAGTATTTTCTGGCTCAACCAAAGGGCTTGTTGTAGAAAGGCGTGGGCATTTTTCAGTTGATTCTAAATGGGATAGCTTAATATATAGTCATTTTCTGTCTTCTGTAACACTGCACTGAAGGTCTTCATTAGTTGAACATGTTAAATTAGGTAATATTTTTGCATTTTCCTGTTTTAGACAGGTGTCCCTCTCTTTTTTTCACTAGTCTACATAAATCTGGTCCACGCTCCATTTTTTCCTTTGTTCAGCTTTACACAGGTTTATATGATCTCTTTTCCTCAAACTATAAAAGGAAACTTACAAACACACACTTACACATGTGAACTTCCTTGAATTGAAGGAGTTCTAAACTAACAAAGTATTTAGTTGTCAGGAGTCTGGCTTCACCATCAGCATTTTCATAAAACAGATTTTGGTTTTTTTGTTTTGCTCACTCATTGTCACAAAACAAATGTGAAATTGAAAAGGCTCATTCATGTTTGACTCGCTTATCACTGGGAGCTGATTGTAATGCATATCTAGAAATTAGTTTTGCCCTGTGTTAGTTGGTAGCATTCTGGTTTTTAAATTGCATTTGTAATTAACTTTATGCATCCTGTTGCCGGTGACTTGGGAATTTAAGCAAATTAAGTTGTAAAACCCTACCATTTTACATACTTCAAGTGTCAGGCAAAAAGCATCCCTTGTGCACGTTATCGTACTTGGCTATTGTAATCACCTCTCTTTTTTTTTTTTTTTTTTGGAGAGGGTACATTTGTTTTATGTGCTTCAATAGATTGCCTGTTTGGCTACTGATCGAGGCAGCAATCCCATTCTGACTAGCATAAAAAACCCCTCTTACCTGATTTTTGTTCTTTCTCATTCAAGATAAGAGGTCAAAGCTCAAGAATGTGAATAATGCACGTAAAACTTTTCCTGTTGCTTGTACTGTCCAGCACTTAGTATACTGGTACTAGATTTGAAATGAAATATTTATCATAACTATGTGAGCTAGGGTAGACATAGTTACATTGCAGACTTTTATTCAGCTTTCCTAAGTTTGTGGGTTTTTTTGCCTGTTCTTGATTGCTATGTTAGTGGCATTATTAAACTCTCTCAATCTCTCAATAAAATCAGTAGTAGAAACTTTCGATCCTTCTCGATCATGGTGTATGCATGAGAGGTTACCAGGACCTTAGACGTGTATGCCTAGGCAGGAGTATGGAGGACTGGAGGCTGCCCAGACCTTCCACCCCCCTAGATCAGGGGTTTTCAACCTTTTTGGGTCAGCATAGCCCCAGCAGCCAGTCAGCAAGCGGGGTGAGGGGGGCAGCAGCCAGTCGATGAGCAGGGGTGGGTCCCCTGTGGCCGATCAGCAAGCTTTCTGGCGGCAGCAGAAGTGTCAGCAGTGGTGCCCGCTACTGAATACCCCCTGAGGGGCTATCCCAAGTGCCCCCAGGGGTACGCATACCCCCAGTTGAAAACCCCTGCCCTAGACTGTTGAAACAGAATCCAAAGGTCAGACAGATAGTTCTTTTCTAAAATTGCTTTGGGTGTGCTTAGGACTTGCCTTCCCTGCATTGTTAGGGTGAGGTGTTTAACTAAGTTTTGTCCCTAAACCAATACCCATCCACACACACATCTCTTAAGTGTGGTGCTTTAAACTTAAGCTTGCTGCTGGTCAGCTCCAGCTAAGAATGCAGCAGCTTGAGTCACAACTCAGTAGCCACTTACCAAATCACTCTGCATAGCTTCAGTGTTTTGCAGGGTTGTGCTCTTACTCAAGTTAGGTAGTCATTCCCAAGTATAATAACTCTGTTTACTGCAAAAAAACCCTCTCCCCTACCCTGCCCATCTTTGTAGGAGTAATATGCAAACTAGGGGGTAGTATGTCCTTCAATAAGTATTTTTTGGTAGAGGCATGTTAAATGGCGTTTCTCTAAGCCAGGTTTGAATACTGACTATATTTTACATTAAATTATTTTGATATAAAAATTACACACACACACTCACTAAATTATTAATGAATGTGTATACATATTAGCACGTATTGAAACCTGGCTTATACGCATTCATTAATAATTTAGTGAGTGTGTGTGTGTAATTTTTATATCAAAATAATTTAATGTAAAATATAGTATTCAAACCTGGCTTAGAATAGGAGTATTTACCACTTGGCTTTCAGTAGCTGCCTTCATAGGATGTATTGCTGCTTCTCCTAGCACGCCTGTTGCAGTGGAGGTGCACAGAGCTGGCAGAAGCCGTATGGTGTCACCAGAAGCACCTGAATATGAATGCATTCTGGTGGCTTGGAAGTGGTATCAAAACTGGTAGATGTAACCAAGGCCTTGGTCTTTTAGGGAAGAAAGTCAAGCTGTCAGACTAATAGTGCTTTTGTAGACCATTGGTTTTGCTTGTTGTTAAAAATGTTTAGGTTCCTGTTATGAAATCATAATTAAAAAGTTCAATCATTGTAACACTGGACTTGTGCATCATATCAAAGTCTATGAACTGGATATTGTATGCTGGATAGCCTTCTGAAATTGGACAAGTGGTGACCACCCAACAGGCTATACTGTGGTGTCACTAGAAAGCAGTCTATTCACTTTACACAGTCATCTGAATAAGCTTTTCCTGGCTGAACATGGAAGTAGTACAGGTTTATAAAGTGCAATTCAAACAATTCCTTTTTTCCTCCCTCTTCTTTCCCCTCCTTCACTGAAACAGGTAGTTTAACTCTACAGCAGGGGTAGGCACCGTTTTTTGGCCAGAGTGCTGAAAAAAACACGATGTCTACCTTGGAAGGTGCTGGAGTGCCAACATGCCAGAGCCTGGAGTAGCTGTTTGCAGCCTCCCAGCTGCAGCTGGCCCACGGAGCCCAGTCTGCTTGCAGCAGGGCTTGCAGCCTCCCAGCAGGGTGGTGGGAACAGTCTGGGCTCCATGGCTGGCAGCAGCTGCTTAGAGCCTGGGCTGGCAGTGGTGTGCCGAGCAAAATAGCCTTGCGTGCCATGCTCGGCACGTGTGCCGGCAGTTGCTGAACCCCTGCTCTACAGTTTGCTGAGAAATACAGGGACTTAAACCAGTCCTCACGAGGTGGAACCAGATAAGGAAACATGTTTTCATATCAACTCTACCTGAATATAATTTAATGTACAAATAATGCATGACCTTTTTTTTCTTTTTTTAATACAGCCATATTATAAACATTTTCTTTTATGCTGTCATTTCAGTAACCTGAACCTTAAGTTCATGTTCAGTGACACGGGGTGATCACACATGTATGTAATGTAAGAATACTTAAATGAAGCTTTGTGATTCATGTCACGTTTGGGTTAGGCCTCGGATAACTGAGATTACGCTGATAGTAATACAGCAGAGTTGTTGTGGAACAGATACTGGAGGTGAGGGACTGATAAAGAAATGGAGAGGTACTAACAACTGGATCCATTTTGTGAAAAGAAAGATTGATGAAACTTCTGTATTAAGTCTCCTCTCTTTCTCTTCCCCTACTAATCAAAAAGTGAGCTGAAGTAAAAAGAAATACACTCCAAACAAATTAACAGTGTGGCTAAATCTGTGTCATTCCATTGCTTTCAGACTGTTTCTCTTAAGCGTTCTAAAAGATGAATATCCTTGTAGAAGTTGCTATTAATTCGGCTCTCACAGTAGTGACAGGAGGTTTTGCAGATTAGTTTAAAAATGTTTATTTAAAGTAATGTCAGATTCTCTGTTGTTCTCTAGCAGAGTCCATGACAACCCAAAATGTGGGTAAACATATGATGTAAATGTTCTTGCTTATCTAGTTTGACGCTTGACTTGCAGTTACTGAGACTTTTGTTTCCTTTCTTCAAGCCAGAATATGTGCCAATTTAAACAGCTTTAATGATGGTTAAGGTCATTAAGAAGTGACGTTGGCCTCTTGTGATCTGATGCTTTTTTGAAATCGGAATACTTAAATTGGGTCCTTTACAAAGATTGTGTGATAATAAAACACGCATTGCTTTGAAAATGCTCCTTTCTTTTGTTGTGTTGTGGTAGCTGGTAATCTGTTTCCAGCTACCACAAACTTAAAAGTGCTGCTATTGATTTAAGTCATCACAGTGAGTCTTAGTAGCCGAATTTACTATTCCTAAAACTACAAGGCTTGTCAGGTTTTGGTCTTTCTGCCTTTTTTTGAAAGAATCCAAAAATAAGAAGACAAGTCCAGCAAACAAATTTGAATAGCTCAGACTATACACTAAACTTTCAAGAATCACCTCTGGTTTATTTAAGAATTAATATTTGTAATCCGTTTCAATTTCTGCGTAACTGCCCCGTACATTAAGTCACGTTAGGTTTTTATCCAGCTCAACTATACTTTCTGTGTATGACCAAACCAAGCATCTTATTTTATGGCTTTCTACTGTTCTTTGAATACTGTAGATATTTTATTGCTGTAATGACAAGTGTTTAGTGAATCTGGCATTAATCGGTATTTATATCAGATTTTTGGAAGGAGGGAAAAGGCAGTTTGTTTGCAGGTTGCAGCAGCTCCACGGGGTTCATGAAAACGGTGTTTGGTTTTTAGTTCATTTCTGTATTTTGCTGAATAGCTTTTGTCTGAGCATAGAGCATGTTCAAATCAGGACTGGTGCTGATTTGATAATAAATTGAGGAGAATGTCTGGTTTTAGATCTTGATTTCAGGAGTTTGGACTGCTAGAAGAAAAAAAGATTTATTATTAATGATCACGATGATGATGATAATATTACAGGATAGTTAAATAATCCTCTGTTAAAGGGTCTCATCCAAAGTCCATCCAGTTACTGGAAGTTACTCCCTTGTGCTTAATCCACAAACCATTGAAATAAAATAACACTATAGTAAATTTATTGCTTACAGAGTTCATCTGTCTTACTACTGATGAAGCACAACGTCTTACTAATGATGATTAGTTTACACTACAGTATCATGTAATGTAGCAAATGTCAAACTTACACGATGTGTGTGTGTCCTCAGAGTTAGGGTCTGCCTTGAGGGTCACCCTAAACTTGTTCAAGCCACATGACGCCCCCTCCCCGTTCAGTAATGTTACTGTGAGGCCACTACAAATAGTGCGTTCTGTTCCGCACGTTGAGCCTTTCTAGGAATCATTTCTTTGCTCTTATTATGGGCGGAAGAGACAAGAAGTGGGGTACGCTGGGGCCAGAAGTCAGAAATAGGAAGTTGTGGGATTGTTAAACATGGGCTTCCTGTGATTTGTGGTGGGCAGTGCCTAAGTGAGCTCTGAAGATGCAGCAAAAAGGGAAGAATTAAAAGAAAACTTTAATCAGGCCCTGAAGCGCAGCAGTGCTTCTGGGGTATGCTGAATTGTTGCCAAGGTCAGACTTGAAGGGTTTTCAGTTGAGGGCTGATGTGTATAGGTTGTATACTAGAGACGTATACTATAGGTATCTCCACTAGATTTCATTTCAGTAGTTTTTCTGAGCAGAGTTGCTGTTGTCAGTGGTTAGAATTGATGCTTGACTGCACTTTTTATTTACTGTTGGACTTAGTTATGAAGTTACTCTCACACAGAAGAAGTGCTGCAAATACATTACTTCCCTTTGCTCTTTATAGTGTAACCTTCTACATGCTTCTTCCCCTGCGTGTCTTGAAACCTCTCCCCTTGCTTCCAAATATGGCTAGCGCATCTTCATCTTTTTTAAAAATTTGAGTTTCAGGAGTTAAGTGCTACATACAGCTAGGCAGTTTTGTAGTTCAGATTTTACTTGCACAATGGGAAAATGTGTTAATAGTCTCATTAAGTATCTCTTATAGAGGTGCACCGATAAATCAGTCCCATATCAAATCAGCACCGATATAGGGAAAATTGATAGTATTGGCAATGAGGTTTTTTTGCCTGATGTGGTTAATATCTACATCTCCATGCGCATGGTCAGGGGAGCAGCCTGGCAGCTTGGAGAGCAGCATTTGGCTGGTAAGTCTGTTGTGGGGGGGAGGGGGGTTTCAGATAGAGGCCTTCGTGGTGACGAGGGAGTGGGGCTGGGGCAGGTGCTGCTCAGCTGGGGCAGGGTGTAGAACAGCTGTGACTGGCTTGTTTGGGGGGGCGTGGGGGGGGGGGGGGCTTCCCCTCGGCCCG